GGAATAATAAAGCAAAGAAATGCTCTGACTCTGGGGGAAATTGCTGAAATTTGTACCATCATAAAACACTTGAAGGATATGGGTTTTTATCATATCTCATTCAACTCCTCTCTTTGGTATAGTTCTTGGAGAATTATCATCAGCTTTCTCAGATGGTGACTTTAGTCACAGGTGTTATTCTAGGTGTTGTCTTTTTATAGGAGCAAATCTACATTTTTAAAATTTACTTGCTGTGAAACTATATGAAAATTCCCCCTCTCCTCCTCTATATAGGACCTCACATTCAGTTTTCTTCCTGTTGGTGAAGATAGTTTTCTTCCTCTGGGGGGATAGCAGTGCACCTTTCTCATCTTATCTTGGAGCTCATCATTTCTGATTGTTACAATTTAGCCTAAGGGGATTTTTTTTTATCCTCCCATATATCACAGAGCAATATGGTTGTTCAGTACATTGATCACATCATGGTCTGAGGATTGAGAAAGTAGAAAGTCTTTTAGATGCACTGACGAAACACAAATGCATGTGAGAATAGAAAATAAACCCTGTAAGAACCCTGCTACCCAAGTGAAGTTTCATATGTTTAGTGATCTGGATCTTGCCATGAAAGATCCTGCAAAGCCTAAGACAGCTGGCTGTGTTTTCTGCCCTTATCTGGTCATAAGAAAAAAGCACAACTTTTGGGCTTCTGCGTGTTTTGGAAGCAACATATATCACATGTTGGTGTGCTGCTCTTAATTTATTGGCTGGCAGTTTTGAGTGGGCCCAGAGCAAGCAAAGGCTTCCATGTGGCCCAGGCATAAGGGCAAGCAGTTCTGCTACACAGCCCAGAGACCCAGAGATGACATAAGTGTCAATAGCCTATGGGGATGATGTTTGAATCCACACAAACCCTAATAGAAGAATCACCATGGATTATGTAGGATTTAGGAGCAAAGTTCAATGCTCTTTGGCAAGCAGTCTTCCCCCTTTTGAGGTTGAGCTCTTGGCTCACTGCTGGGACTAGGTAAGAATAATCCCTGTGTGTGGGACACCAAGGGACTATGAAAGTTATTGGTGCCTGTTACTCAGTCTGCTACTTCCTCAGGTATTCTTGAGTGTATGTGCTCAGTGACTACTAAGTGAAATGTCTGAATCATGCATCAGGTATGGGACACACTTGATCTCTCCCCTTGTTTATCCTCTATTTCACTTCAATTAGCTCTGTGCTCTCTACTCTGCAGAGTTGGAAATTGCCAATTCATCAGTGATCTCTTTATTGATAGTTTCGTGGACATTTGAAAGAAAAAAAAAAGATGTATTTTAAACTGTATGTGGTGGTACACACCTATAATCCCACTACTTAGGAGGCTGAAGCAAGAGGATCCCAAATTTGAAGACAGCCTGGGTAACTTAATGAAATCCTGTCTCAAAATAAAAAATAAAAATGTCTGGAGACATAGCTTAGTGGTAGAGCATTTGCCTAACATATGTGCATATGTGAGGCCTTTAGTTTAATCCCCAGTATGCATAAAACAAAAGGAATTATTGCTATAGTGTAAAAGACAGACAATGGCAAGTATTGGTGAGAATGTGGAGAAAATAGAACAGTCATACATTGCTGGTGGGAACGTAAAATAGTGCAGCTCTGGCCCATAGAGAATCAGGACCAAGCCATGGGGATGTTAAACCAATTGGTCTCAGATGGAGAGGGAATTGAAAAATAGGTGCTTTGTGGGAGCAGTGGCCTGGCTTGGGTAATCCAGGGATACAGAGATGGCAGGATTGTAGGGCCTCTGAGGGATGGGTGGGCCTGAATGTGGCTGGCTATAGGGGTGCTTGGGAGAACTGGGCAAGCTCTGGGAGCTCCCTGGCCAAGGCTGGTATAGGGGAAGTGGTTTCCAGGACCCTCCCTGGCTCAGGCTAGGGCAGCCATAAATGTATCAGGAGAGCCTAGGCCTCTGGAATGGTGAGGAGTCTCAGAGACAAGATGAGGCTCTGGGGACATGACTAATATCAGATTAGTCAACTCTGCCAACTCTGGCAATGAAGGAAAGGGGCTCCAACTGTACTTAATATGATTTATCAAATTAATGACAGGTGACACTTTTTATACCCCGAGCATCAGGCTGTGATTCTTATACACAGTCACAGATAGTGATATGTTTGTGGTAATAGGGGGTGGCCACAGAGGTAGAGAAAAAGCGGGCAATTCTCCATTTTTTAAAGCAGGAACAGCAGGTGGATCACAGTGATGGATTGGAAGGGGGATGGGAGGGAGGTGGGGACACAAAGGACTTCCAGGTTTCTTCTGTGAATTAGGTCAACAGTATATTCCCATTCCCTTCTTCTAGGCACTCATCCCCTCTGCAACAGACTCCCAAAAGTATCCTCCAGTAGGACCTGGCTTCTGTCCCTATCCTATCACCGTGCACTGTGTCTTGCTCCCCCAATACATCAAAGACACCAAGGCAGTGCCTGGCACACAGCAGGTATAAAAGGACCAGGTCATTGTATGAGAAAAGGAATAGCATCTGTCTTTCCCAGGATCAGCTGCCAGGCTTCACTCCTGCTCCAGAGAGGGGCTTCAACACCTGCCTGCTTCAGGTGGCTCCAGTCTTCACCAGGGAAATGGGCGGAGTATTGGATTCAGATGCTGGCCCTGTGGTGTCCACAAGTGGAATCTGTTCCCTGAGCCAGAAGTGGGCAGCCTCCCCTCCCAGAGACACCGCACTGGTCCTCCAGTGGAGCAGTCGGTTAGTGTGAGGTACTTACACAGAGACACCCTGAGCACACACCAACAAGGAGAGAGCTGAAGACAGTAACTGATGGGGAAGAACCAGACCATCAGTGAAGTCTGCATCTGAGCAGGGCCAAGAGAGTGCAATCCATCTTCCACTTTTCCCTGTAGTGGAGAGCGGGGCTTGCTGAGGCTGAATACCATATGTGGAGAGGGTTGTGGGGTGGGGGTCTTCTGCCTCAGAATCTCTTCCCATGTCAGGACCCTTTTACAAATGGGGATATTGAGGCGGTGGGGCCAGGTTCTCTGCAGAAGCTACCAGGTCTAACAGCAGCCCCCGCTGGGAGCAACCCTTGCTCTGCCAGTTTGACACTGTGCTTGATTGTCTCCCTATGGGATCATTCTCAGCATTTGTGGGCCTTGGTTCCTCCTTCTAGCTTGGGCCAGCCTTTCTCACCTTCCTCTGGGTGCTTCTCTTTGACTGATCTCTTAAAGTCTCCAGAGCTGTGAACTGGGCCACTTCTCTTTCCATTTTGACGCTGACGCTGAGGGACTGCAGTTTCCCTGTGGGGTTTCAGTGACACATGCGCAGGGCAGCTGTTCCAGATCTGATTGGCAGCCAGCTCTCTCTTCAGAGGTCTAGCCAGAAGCTTCTTGCACACCTGCCCCTGTCCATACACAGCACCTCTCTCAACATGGCCTCAATGTGGCCTTTTCTGGTCCCTGACTATGGGTGCTCAGATGGCAGCAATTTCTGGGGACCACAAGAAACCTCACAGTGTGTATATGTAGAGGTGACTTCAGGGGCACAGAGACCCTGTACTACAGGAATGGGGTGAGGAGGCTGACCTTGGCAGGGGATGGGGAAGGCTTGCTTAGGAAACTGGACACCAGTACTTCCTGCGATGATCTGTCCATAAGAACTGAGCTGGGCTTCTGTGTGGGGGGGTAACCTTCAAAAGGGGTAGGCATGTTCTTTGGAAACCAGCTTTGGTGGGGGCAATAGGTAGTACTTCCCCTTTTCCCCCACTGCCTGAGGGCTCTGGGCTTTAAAAGGGAGGCCAGCACATGACTTTGAGGCCCACCCATGTCTGCCCAAGGCTGAGCGTCAGGCCTGCTGGCAGTTCCCCAGTCTCCTTCCCATGGCCCGGCTGTGGTTCTCCTTCAGCCTGCCAGTGCCACACTCACAGGCCACGGTACTGATCCCCACTTCCTCCCTGGTGTCCAGGGTTCACAAAACCAATTTCCCCTGACTGGTCCTTGATTTCTGCTTGAGGGACCTACCGTACCTCTTGGTGAAGTCCTCATGCAAACCAGATTATTTCCATTCCTAGACTTCTAGAGTGGGCCTTACCCTGGCCCTCCAGTCACACCCATGTTGCCTCTTTCTATCCTGTGCCTGAACTGTCCAACACCCTGTCAGAATGAAAGCCAGCTTTCACTTCTCTGTCCTCTCAAAGCCAGGCCTTCACTATCCTAGAACCTCATTGCATACCTCATTTTATTGTCATGAGACTAGAATTCTTTACCACAGTGACCTCAATCTTGATACAAAGTAGGTGCTAATGAAAAGTCTGTTGCATGTATGAATGAGTGGGGAGAATTCAAGCATATTTTATTAACAATTTTCTTTTTGTTTTTGAGTTGGCGTCTTGCTGTTTCCTAGGCTGGCCTTGAACTCCTGGGCTCAAGTAATCCTCCTGCTTCAGCCTCCCAAGCAGCTGGGCCTATAGGCACATGCCATGTAGGAGCCCTACTCAAGGCCTTTTTCAGAAGCCCCTTATGGATATTGAATGAGGATCATCAGATGTCAGGCTCTACCTTTGTTAACGTCCTGAGACTCATGATCAGAGGCCTAGCTTTTTCAAGAAGTTGAGCCTGGATGACTCAATTTAAGACTGAGCCTTTGGCAAACAACTATCACCCAGAATTACCTAGGGCTGACTGGACACCTGCTTTTGTTTTATCTGCAGGCTTCAACTCTGACCCATTCAGGGATAAGCCCACTGAAATTTGGTACCTCTTGCTGGGTTTCCCTGGGCTCCACCCTTCCCTTGTCCTGCTCACTTTCATGATGGGTCCTATCCTGTCTCCTAGCATCACCTGCCTACTCCCATCGCATACTGAGAATTCACAGGAACTGGGCATTGTTAAAGGCCTCTGGCCCACATGGATGTCTAGAGTCTGATATGCCCACTTTTGAGTGAATGTACATGACATGCACACATATACATGCATGTGCCCCTGTCCCCACAGAATCAGAGAGAGACATAGCTAAGCCAGAGGGACCAGTTTTATTTGACTCCAGCAAGACTACACAGCACATAATTCATGCAGATTAAATATGTATCTTCACTGCCCCTGGGAGGGGTGCACTTTCACTGCCAACTGCTTCAGTGGCATGTCAAGAGGTGCATGTCAAGGAGACCCCTCTGTATATTCTCCATGAGGGACAGTTGGGATCATGACTGGGGGTGGAGGTGAGACAGTGGGCAGCTGAGGGGCCCTGGGACCTTGAGTCTTCAGAGTTTCAGGGACCACAGGACCTTGGTCTTTTGCTGGTGCTGGCACAAGAGGATCTTGATCTTTCAGAGGCACTGGGATTATAGGACCTTGATTTTTTGGATGCTCTGAGAATGTGTGACCTTGATTCTTGGTTACTGCTGGGACAATGGGGTCTTGGTCCCTTACAAACTCAGGGACTACAGGACTTTGATGCTTTACAGATGCTATGACCATGGCACTTTGATCCTTCCAATGCTCTGGGACCATGAAACCTTGATCTTTGTTAGAAGCCAAGACCATAGAACCTTGATCCTTGATGGGTGTTAGGACCACAGAACCTTGATCCTTTGGAAGTGCTGATATCACAGAACCTTGATCCTTAAGTCTTTCTGGAACCATAGGACTTTGATTCTTCAGAGGATCTGGAACCAAGGGACCTTGGTCCTTGGCTGGTGCTGATATCACAGAACCTTCATTCTTTAAAGGCTCAGGAACCACATGACCTTTATCTTTGATTGGTACTGGGACCATAGGACCTTGATCCTTTGGAGGCCCTGGGACCATGGAGACTTGATCCTTTGGAGGCCCTGGGACCATGGGACCCTGATCCTTTGGAGGCCCTGGGACCACGGGAACTTGATCCTTTGGAGGCCCTGGGATCACGGGACCTTGATCCTTTGGAGGCTCTGGGACCACGGGACCTTGATGCTTTGGAGGCCCTGGGACCACAGGACCTTGATCCTTTGGAAGTCCCAGTACTATGGGGCCTTGATCCTTTGGAGCCTCTTGGATCACAGTACTTTGACCTTTCAGAAGCCCTGAGACCACAGGACCTTTATTCTTGTCTGGCTCTGTGGCTATAGGACCTTTATTCTCACAGGAATCGTCGGTGGGTTGGATTGGGCTCCTGCAAAGGAGAAAGAGGTGGTCACTGTGAGGTCAAGCTCAGGCCAGGGATAGGGCAGAGCACAGATTGCCTGGTAAGACTTAGCCTACTGGAGCCTGGACAGGGCAGCTGTCCAGCAAGTGAAGAGCCAGGAGGAGAATCTAACTTTTGTGTTAGTCCAGAACATTGGGTTGTGTGAAGGGGAGGCTCAGGGTCATTCAATGTGTTTGCCAATTGATTACAACCTGCAAGTGGCATGGGGAGCCCCGGGGTGATGACTGCAGTACTGCACTGGACTCAGAGTCACCCAGTGGACATTCTAGTGGCTCAGACAGCTCAAACCCCATCCAGGCCCCTACTTCTTCCAGGATTTCTGGGCCCGTCTTGGAAGCCCATCCCAACTATCCACTCATATGACCCCACAGGCCAAGCTGCCCTGTCCTTTTTCAGGTCCTTCCAAAGCTCCTTTCCCTCCCCGTACCCATTGTTAAAGGCTGACTGACGGCAAGGACAAGGGGTCCATGGAATACCAAGAAAGGGGACAGTGGGACAGCTCTCTCCTCCCCTGCAAGTATTTTATCACTGATATGCTTGGAATCATTAGCATACATGATAATAAAAACTAGTTCAACTTTTAACTAGTTTCATCCTTGCTTGTAAGTTCTCCATAGACACTGTACCCCATTTTAGCTTACACCACTCCCTCTGGCTCCTAAAGGTGGCAGGCAACTGGCTGGGACTTCCCATTCAGGCAGTGACAAGGCCCCAGTCTTTTCCCTCCATCCCCACTCCCATTCCTTCCACTGCCCTTAGACTTCCTCTCTCATGTCCTCATGGCTCCTGGGCACATTTCCCTGTAGCCAAGAGCCCAGACCTCTTACCAGAGTCCCCAAGGTGGCTCTTTGTGCCTCACTGCAGCCACCTGCCCCATCCCTCAGTCCATCCACATTGTGGAGGGCATGTGACAAACTCTGATGTGCAAAGGCAAACACTGCCACAGAGCCAGACCTAGGCAGTCTGGTGCATAGTGCACACCCCTGCCTGGCGGGCTACAATGAAAGTTGCCACTCAAGCACGACATTGCTTAGCCAGTACCATCAACCCTTGCGCATCTAGGCACATTCTGCCTCCACTCTGCCTCCCTCATCTCAGCAACACAGCAGCCCTGTTGAAACACACAGGAAAGATTTTATCTCATTTGTTAGATGAGAAACTGAGGTCCAGAGAGGGCAAGTGATGTGGAAAGTGAGAAGACTCACTGGGACAAGAGTCTGGGGACCATGCAGTCACCCGTACAGTGCCTGGCACATAGCAAGTGCTCAGTGTGCCCTAGTTCTTACTTCTCTTGCATTTGGAGACAACGGAGCCTGTAGCCTGAGCTGTATTGGGATTTTACCAGCTCCTGTCAGGTTTTTAGAGGACTGTGTCTAACTAGCTTCTTAAAGCTGCTCAGATGAGACTTCTACCTGGTGACACTTAGTTCATTATGGTTTAAATTTCTCTGGGCCTGCAGCTTGTCATCTTTTAATTGGGTTTAGTGATATTTACTCAGAAATTTATGGTGCTTAGACGGCAAGTACACAGCACACTTTGTACTAGGTAGTATGACAACTATTTTTCTATTCACTTCGAAGCAAAATTACACAAATTTGGGTTATCTTTATTCACCATATCATCCCAATCTGAAGCTTTTTTTCTACTGTACTCGGCATGTGGAGCCACCTGGGGACTCAGCAGCAGAGTACAGAGCAGTGCATAGGGTCTATCTGTCCAGTCCCAGGCAAAACCATGAGAAGCACGCAGAATCCAAAGAGCTCACTGAAATGCCTCCTGTCACTGGTGGCTGGCTAGAGAGAAAGAGTAAGAACTGAATTTAGAGTACAATCAAGCAGGAAACCAATGAGATGTATCCTCTCAGCTTAGGTGAGCTGGGTGGAGCATCCTGGGGGACTGATGAGGCTTGGAAGGAGAAAGAGGTGACCAGGGCTGAAGCTGCTCATGGGACTGGGCTGCAGAAGCTGTCCCTGGGCAGGTCATTAGTCAACAAGGCCAACCCAAACACGTTTCCCGGATGTTTGCAGTATTGGCTCCCACACCATGCCCCGAACTTCTGTTCAACGAGCATACTCAGTCAGATATGAGCTAAGCCTAAATTTTCATGGATAAATAACATCATATAACTTTGGTTAGTAACTTTTTTCCATTAATACGTGTCTTTAATCATAAGAAAATTTAAATAAAGATTAAAATTAATTAAGAATTAAGATTATAAATAAGTTAATCAAACCCCAATATTAACTTTTTTTGGTACTAACTTTAGGAAAAATCTGCTTGGACTTAGGTTGAAAGTATCTGTAATGCTTCAGATAATTATGGTATATTAGAATATCTAACCGATTAGCTGGGTGATTCCATTAGAAAATGTGGGATAATTAGATTTGGAACTTAGTTTTTTTCTTATGCACTTTTTTTTCTTTTTACAAAGAAGTTTGCAAATATAATCAGAGTATCAGATGATGAAGTTAAATCCCTCAATAGGCCCCGTGTGGTGGGATACACCCGTAGTTCCAACTAATTGGGTGGCTGAGCCCTCAAATTTGAGACCAGTCTGGGCAAAATAGTGAGACCTTGTTTCTAAATGAATAAATAAGCAAATAAATCCCTTCTGGGACATTTGAGATATGATGAAAGCCCAATAATTTTTTTCTAGATTTTATCATAAGTAAAATTTGGGGGGAACGGTGTTTTCCAGCAATGGGTTACCTTATTGGGCATTTTAAAATACATGATGATGGATCTTTCAAGCAAGCACCAAATTGGCTGAACTCTTATTTTATTTCATGTTGGGAAAAGCACAATTAAACTTTTGTTTCTTTGTGTCATCAAAAACTCTGGTGAATGGCACTTAAGAGAAAGTAAATATGCACGAAAATTCACAAATGACCAGCACTTGTGATGTGTGACTGGATAAAATCAGGAGTAACCCAACCTGGTGTGACTGCAGGGCTCTTCAGGGAAGAAGAGATTTTAGTCTTGCTCTGGCCTGGCTGTTGACAGACTGGCAGACTACTTTTTGGGCAGCTCCAGGCAAGCTATTACTCCTTTAAGTTAGACTTGAAATCTTAAAAATTATTATTGAATAATAGTAGAGAGTTGCAAATTTCACAAAACAAGGGTTGTGGAGCTTTTATGCTATCTCAAGAGCCACCATATTTTTATGCTTAATTTATTTTAAATTATTTAGAAGAGTTGAATTAAGATATAAAAACCTCCTTTAAAAAGATCAGTACATTTTACTGGATTATTTATTCTGTTGCCTTCTTTTGTTTTTGAGCCAGGGTCGTACTTTATAGTGTGGGTTGGCCTTGAACTCACTATATAGACCAGGCTGTCCCTAAACTCACTGCAATCCTCCTGCCTCAGCCTCCCACTTGCTGCAATTATAGGCATGTGTCATCATGCCTGGCTATGATTTTATTACTTTTAGAAACTATGCATTTACTTCAAAAACCAAAGCAACTTTAATAGTTTTTTCTATGCATAAACGCCCCCTCAAGGATATCACGAACCCTCATCAATACTGCCCAGGAACCTCTTGGTGCACACTTCCCTGCCAGTAACCCCCATCTGTAAAATGCCCACCACTCCTTACTCACTGGCTGAGGGCCACACTCACAGTGATCCTTTGTGAGTGAGACAAGCTGCCTCTTGGGGTGAGCACTGAGTGCGTGGCTTGGCTGGCAGAAGTGGGCTATCCCTGGGCATGGCCAACCTACACAACTGAATTTGATGTGCCAGCTGCAGATCTTCTCAAGACATCACAAGACTCAGCCTTGTCTAATTCCTGGACTAGAGCACTAATCTCTCAGAAACGACAGACTGGCTGGATTTATCTTGGCTTCCGTGCTGCAAATACTCAACATAGACCCCAGTTTCCCCATTTGTAAAGCGGGGACAATGATATCAACATCAGGGACTGTTATGACAGAAGATCCAAGGATCCTATGAGGCATGAGGTCCTCATTCTTGGTGTTTGTACAGTGCTCAGGTATATCATGCACATATCACTGTAGCAACTGCCCCAATGGTTTACCTCCTTCAACCCTCACCTAGCACTGCAGGAGTGACCTTCCTGTGGCCCCTTCTCCTTGCCTTATTCCTCATGCTGTTTATGGCCTCACAATGTCTATTGTATGTACCTTTTCTGCTGCTTGGGTCACCCCTTCCACCCATTCTTTCTTGCTGAAGAGCCTGTAGTTAAAGCCTTAGCCTGGATCCCACCTTCTCAAAGGGTCTTAGGAGTCTCTCTGGATCTCTTGTGCAGCAACTACTTTATAATGGCTCTCTCCACATTCGTGGAGATGCCAACTGTACATCAGGTTTCCCTATCAGACCATGAACTCCTGGAAGACAGACCTATGCTGTCGCCAGCAGCCTCAATGCCCAGCTCAGGATCTGGAACACAGAGGACCAAATGGCTTAATTTATAGGTTATTGTTGCTGACATCTAGTCCATCTTCTCTTCCATGGCCCTAGCCAAGAACCCAGAGTTATCTCTAAAACCTACCTTTCCCTCCAAACCCTCACCCAGGCCATCAGGTCCCATCTACTTCCATTCCTAATGTTTCTCAAATATTCCCAATTCTTTCCCTTTTTCCCTCCCTTCCCCTGTACCTGCTTTGCCAACATCTCTCTAGGCCACTGTCACAGCCAACTAAATGGTATCCCCACTTTCCCCTCCAATACATTCTTATACTGAGACAAGAATCTTCCAAGAAAGCAAGGCTGGCCCCTTCCCTTTCCTGATCAAAACACTTCTTTTTTTTTTTGGATACTGGGGGATCAAACTTGGGACCTTGTGCTTGTGAGGTAGGCAGTGGAACCACTGAGCTAAATCCCTGGCCCCCTGATCACAACCCCTCAGTGGCTTCTTCTTGAAGTAAGAATGAAGAGTAAGACCTGCTACATGGCACCATCTGGTTAAGGAGCCAGCTCCTAGCTCCCTGGATGGCTCAGGTGTC